CAAGACACGAGACTCGTCCGACAGTAACGTGGCCTCCAGCAGCCACAGGACACAAGGGCACCCTTAGTCCGAACGTGCAGAGGACATGAGAAGGGATGGACAGGACACAAGAGTATACACTTGCTTTTGCAAGGTCGATCTGCCAATGCACCCGGACGGTAGATCGGAGGACGGTGGGCTCATCATCCCTCAACATGTCATCTCGGGGAGATGTAAGACTCGGGTACGGGGGACTCGGGTTGGCCCGACGAGGCCATCATAAAAATTACGCGACCCGATCTGAAATCTAACGCGAGCTCCCGCAGCAAACATCCCACGAAAACAGGACCGTCAAACTCCAGGACGCGCTCGTCAAAAAACGTCGGCAAATCCGAGTTCTGGCTTACTCGAGTCACTCGAGTCTTACGTTTTCCCGATTATCAGACGGAGTCGGGCCCGCCCAGCCGCCCGGTACGGATGCCGCGCCACCGAAGAACATCGGCAACGGATCGGACCGCGCCTGAATCGGTGGCGAACCTTGGAGGCCTGGAAGTGGGCACCAACACCAACACAGGGGGATTGCCTCCACAGGGGGAAGATGAGCCCAAATTTCGGTGCCGGTGGTCATCTTTCGGCCACCTTGGAAGCCAGAATATTACCACCCTCGCCGAGATTGGGATCTTCGTCCCTCGGTGGAGGCACACCGACGATATTGGCGTTGGTGCCAGCCTTTGGGCCTGCGAGAATGGAATCGGAATCGGATCGTGTGGGGTCGCGTGTCGGGCTGGTCCCTGCAGGCCGGAGAGGCGACCGGCTCGGTCGGATCGGATCGAAGTCGGAGTCGAAGTGCTTCGGGATCGGGTCGGTTGGAGTAGGCAGCCCTGGGCAAGTTCGTGCCAGGCCGAATCGGGCTCTGGTTTCTAGCTTTAGGTCAAGTCTGGACGAAAACTAAAATTCGTCAACAAATGCACCCAGATTGTCAAACAATCGTCCCCCGACTACTTTTTTCATATTTTTGAATATTCCTCCTGTAATTCTCATTCCGTGCGGATGGTTCAGACTTGAGCGCTCGCAGCAGTCCGATGGCGCGCACCGTTCGATAGCGGCCGATCCTGGGCCACTGGAAGCTGACCCTCGAAAGCCCGCGCTGGGGTCGGCGCCGCGCCGGCACGACACGGACCTGCAGCGGGGGCCCGACCACAAGAGACCTTCCACAAGAAACCCAACCCTGAGGCCCCAGGACGCCCATGGACTTCTGGTGTGGGAGCGTCCCGCCTTCCACCGCAAAACCATCAAAACCCACGAACCCCAGGGCACCCTGGAGGCAAGCAGGGCGTTTCTTGGCGTGGGTCTCCGTGTTCGGTACAGCTATGCTGATGGGCCTGTTTTCCGCCTCCACCACCATAAGTTGGAGGGGGGAAGAGGAGTACGCGGAGGAGGAGGACGAAGAGGAGGAGGAGGAGGAGGAGGAGGAGGAGGAGGAGGAGGAGGAGGAGGAGACGGAGACGGAGACGGAGGAGGAGGAGGAGGAGGAGGAGGAGGAGGAGGAGGAGGAGGAGGACAAGGACAAGGACAAGTCGCTCGGGGAGAGATCCGCTGCGGCAGCAGCAGCCTGGACCTAATCTAACCCCCCTGCGTATCATACGGACGCGGGCCAAATCAAGACCTGCCAGCGGGCGCGGACGGTGGGCCGTTGCCCACGATCCGCGGCCGCTCTCGGCGAGGATGTCGCTCCTCGCGCTCCCGACAGTACAAGTGACTTCGAGGAGCGGGGGCCGTCGCGGGCCCAGTCCCTGGGCGCACGGGGCCCCTGAGGGGGAGAGGACGCGAGGCGGGGGGGGGGGGGGGAAGGGGGGGGGGGCGGCAGCAAGGCAGGCAGGGGGGGGGGCGGGGGCGGCGGCCGCGGCCCTCGTACTTCGAGAACGCGGCGGCGCGCGCGCGGTCGCGCGCACGCCGCTCGCCGCTCGCCGCTCCGCTCCTCGCTCCTCTCCTCGACCCCCCCTCCTCTCCCACCCCCCTCCTCAATGCTAATTGCTGCACTGGCTTTGTGGCTCACCCTGTTCCCTGAGCGTCGTTGTGTGGGTCCACATCTCGCACGCACCGCGCGGCACAGGTACTGTCCAGTGACCTCCGATCTTTTGTTCCTCTGTAGCTGCTGTCAGGGCGAGTAGCAATATGGAAGTGGCCGATCAGGTCGGCAGGAGTGCTGATGCTCTCTGCCTGGCATTCGCTGCTGTGAGAAACCTGCATTCGCATCTATCTTGGTCATACTGGGCCTAGGGGCCGTGCCGTCCTCTGCACACCGTAGTGCCCTCCCCGTCCCCTGAGAGTAGTATTGATACCTCTGATGTGTTAGAATACCCATAATTCTAGACCGCCCGTCGGCATGTGTAGTAGGTAGTAATGCGTCCCTGGTCGTCGCACCGCACCGCCAAGAGTACTAGTTACTGTTTGAGCCCCCCCTGTCCCATGCTGTCTGGTAGGAGGTCCTGTTCTTGTTGTCTCTTGGCTCGGTAGTAAAGGGCATAGTCGTATAGTATTTGTATCCTCTGGCTTTTGCTAGACAGTTGTTTTTCAAGTTGGGGAGCTGATATGGGGTCCATGCTAATGTTATTGGCATTTATTTCCTCGGCAGTGACTGGCGGATAGTTCGGGGCAGGCCCCGTTCCTGTCCAGGTCACCTCGGGCCTCGGCACGGGCGGAGGATCAGGCATCTGTAAGCCTGACCGTTGGTATGCATCTGCAATAGTCGCCGCATTGAAAGAATCTTCTATTGTGCCGAAATCCAGCAGCATGTTGGGGTCAACGGCCGTCGAGCTCGAGCTGCCAAAAGGACCTCTCATCTGCTGATACTGATGGCCTTCGTGTGGCGCTCTCAACGCCTCTGTAGCTGGCGCAGGTTGCGCTCGCAGGTCCTCTCCAGCTCCGTCTTCGGGCCGCTGCTGTTGCTCTTCCTGCCGTTCGCCTCCTGTAATCCGTGCTCGATTGCCGCCTTCAGCAGCGCCGGTTGGAACAGGGCCAGCTTCTGGATGGTCGCCTCCTCCGCCTTCGTGTCTTTCATCACCATCGCGAGGTTCGGCATCGGGTTGACCGAGAACACTAGCTTGCCAAGCTGATCTGCATCTTCCATGCCGTCCTTTTTGTACGTGTTCGTCGCCTTGCACAGGAGGATGGTTTCGGCCAAGACCACGGGGCCGTATTCCTCGCTCACCGCCTGGACGTATTCCGTGATCATCGCCAGCGTCTCCTTGTCCCTCTTGTTTGTTGGGGTCCATCTTGTCGTCGAGCACCTTCTGGACCGCCTTCAGCAGCGACAGGGCCGCGTGGATGTGTGGGGGGGCCCAGTCCGTGGCCTTTTCCTTGCGCCCGAACTGCCGCCGCGTAGTCTTTGCCCGCTGCATTGGTGTCCTTGAAAGGTCCGCTTGCGATTGGCAGCAGCCAGAAGCTGGTGTTGATGTGCATCAGGTCCCTGGCCTCCTGCGACGTCCTCAGCGCGAGCTTGTGCAGACTGGCCAGGTAGTCGGCGAACCCTGTTGCTCCTCCACCTCCTGACGGTCCGCCTCCCCCCCCGCCGTTGTTGTCGCCCTTGTGCTTCTTGCCCTTGTCCTGCTCCTCTGTCGATTCTGGACGCTTTACCCCCTTCTGGCCAACGTGCCACATGCTGCTGAGCCTGCTTGTCTGTCGACAAGCGCACTTCCCTGGGGCCGACGTGATGCTTCCTCACGTGAAGCTGGAAAGCCGAAAGGTTTTGAGCCTCAAGGCCACAGATTTTACAGACGAGGTCCCCTGGTTCCTGGACTGGATGGTCCCACTTGCTTCGATTCACATGGCAGATCCCAAAAATGTCCGCTGCTCGAGTACAGTGATCTATTGCTGTTCGTCGATTGTTGAAAGTACTCAAGCACCAGGGACATTGGTTTGTTACCACTAACTGTGCCACGAGCGGCCGTACATTGTGTGCAGTACGTCTGTGCCCCGCAAGGGCCTGGGCCGTGATGAACCTACGCCCGCGCATAACCTCTGTCCCGTCGAGGGTAACTATTGTATGATCACACCAGTAATCCTTATCCACCTCTCCCACCTCCTCTTCCCCGTCGTCCCCATCCACCTGGCTCCAATAATACGCTGCACTTCGCAATATAGTTGGATCCGTGGTCGTGAATCGTTTCCATTCCGCACTTCCTGGTCGGGAGAGGCTGAGGTCGGATTGTCTGCCCTGGAACCAGTCCCCAAAGTCTTCACTAATAGCATCAAGGGCACCCAGGTCCTCCAAACATTGCTTAGCCCAGGGGGTGGCTGAATCTGTAATGCTGTCATTAGCAATTCTATTTACCCCTTCGGAGATGTCCATTACTGAATCCCCGAATACTGCCGCAAACACTGCTCCGTGGTCCGCTGGATACTGTGCCCAGCGCATGTACCAGCGAATCCGTCGCACACGTAATGCTACTGCCGTCCTCTCTAACCTCCATTCCCTGAATACCCTGTCCGTGTTGTGACATCTAATACTCCCGTCCTCCCTCTGCCAACTCATGTCCCCTCCACTCAGTGAACGTAAGAACTTCGCAAGTACTGCGTCGATCGCATTGGTAAGCTTGGCTGGGAGCACAAGTGCGGTCAGTCCACTGAGTGCTGCTCCCATCACACATGCTGTGAACATCATTCGCTTGATGGGCTTCGGGGTTTTGCTGCTCCAGAAAGCCCCCCCCTGACGCCAGGCCAACCGTGCTGCCTCGCACCGTCGATGTACTTCCCCGCTGAAGCCTTGCTCACTGGGAAGGTAAGGTCCGAGCACTCGCATCTCACGCATCGTGTTGCCTTTAATCGTCTTGCTTTTTGCGCAGAAGTCGTGTCGTTCCAAAGCAGCCTTCCCCTCTGATGTGGAGGAGGTGGTTGGTTTTTAGGCACCAGTTGCCCTTAATAAGTTTTGCCTCAAGCCGTGTCGTCACACCATTTAAATGATTAATAATGTCTGCTGCTGCTGTGTTGGGGAGGAAAGTATGTGTTTTCGTGATGTCGTCCATGAAGGTATTGAGGGAGAGGTCGTGTACTTGGTTGTTGACTGGGTTGATTGTGTCGTGCAGTGTTTGGGTAATGTCTTCTCGTTCTTGCTGGTGCCACTGGTCGACGTAAATGTCGTAGCAGTCGTTGAACTGACCTGGGGCCAGTGAGAAGCCCATTTGTGCGCCGTCACTAGTAGCTACGTGTACTTGCCCGTCTGCTGTGTTCATGGTGAGACAGGCGTGATTGATTGCTGCCATTGCGAATGGTTTGTCCTCGTCACATGTGTGCTTCCAAGCCACCGCTTGGAGAAGACGTCTGTTGGTGCTCGCAAAGGCATTTGTACAGTCGTAGTTCGAGTGAATTGTGCTGTATCCTGCTTGAGTGGCCCTCCATTGGGATGCTTGCACACACAGGATGGAGTTCTCTCTGCACCGGTGGGCAATCCCCCCCTGAGCCCACGCAGGATGTTGCGCTCTCTCCCCCCGTCCTGGAATACCTGGGTGCCAACTCATCCCAAAGCTGCAGTACGCATGCATTATACGCTTCCCTGCAATCCCTGGTTTGCTGTTGTGTTTGTCTGCGTCGAATGCCATGCTGCGATGCCAGTCGAGCGGCGTCGCTCGTGTCGTGCGGCACAGGCACAATAGGTCGTCCAGTCGTTGCTGAAATACGTACTTCACACTGCTGTCTCTCATGATCGTGGCGCTGCCTAAACCTGCTCTCTCTGCACGTCCCACAAAGTATGGTGCTGTCGTGAGATGGTCAAGCTCTTGCCCCGTCAGTTGCTGCCCCGATGTCCCCAGCTGCGTGCCCTCCAACCAACCCATTTCCTGCATCAGCTGTCGTCCCTTCTTATATTTGAACAGCGTAGTGTGCTTGGCTAGCTCCTCATCGTCCTTCTCCTTCTCTGCTTTTGCTATCGCTCGCTTCTCCAGCCTTTTACTTGCTTCATCTGGGTCCTCTAAATGGGCCTGGGGATCTAGCAACATCCACGTGCATTCGATCGGAAGACCCCAGGCTGGCCAAGCGCGTCTCTTCTTCGCCCTGCGGCAATACCGTCGCATAGCACGCTTGTCTTTCTCGACAGCATGGAGGATGGCGTGGTCGAGGGGGGCTGGGAGTTCTCCCTCTGCCTGATGCTGCTCATGCTGGGCTCGCTCCTCCTGCACATCCATCTGCGTCCCTCCCAAACCTCCCTCGTGCGGGTGCTTGCCAAGCTCGTGTATCCACTGCTCTGCTGTCCAATATGTTTTTGGAGAATAATAGAAACGTTTTTTGGGGCCCCTCCCATTCATGTTGTATGCTATCCGCAATCTGTGCATCTCGGCAAAGTTGGAGGCCTCATATGCCTCCCAGATCTGTTGTACAATCTGCGCACGTCGCTTCACAAGACTGTCCTCTCGCATTCGTTTCAGCAGTGCCGTCGCAGTAGCCAGGTCTTCCAGGAGCCCGTCGTACTGCTCTTGAGTAGTGTCGGGTCGCATGTTTGCTCGTATTTCACGTCTTTGTTCAAGAAGCTCCATGCGCTTACATCTGACCATTTTTCCGTCATCATCTAACTGCTGGTCTGCTTTGCCGAAAGACTTGCGAAGGGCTTGCCTGGTTGCATTGCCGAAGAGTTGCCAAGCTGCGTCGGGTGTACTACTCTGCTTTGCCTGCTCCCACTCGTCCTCCCCCAGTCCTCTCATCTCATCGTCCAGATGCTCGAAGAACTGTAACCTGCCCCTCCCCCTCCGCAGACACTCCATGAGCAAGTCGGCGTTCACGCCTTTGTCGTCGTGTCTCCTGCCTGAGAAGAGGTTGGCGCCTAGTCGGAGGGGGAGGTCGATTGAGACGGGTAGGTGATCTCTGTGCCATCTGCTCTTGTGTAACTGCAGTCGTTTGCCTATGGCTCGTAATGTGGCACATTTACTGGATATGGTGCGGGCACCTGTCGGCAATAGTATGTGGTCGATCCTAGTCTCCTGTCCCTGGAACCCGTAATAAGTGGGCCCAATACTAGTGAAGGTGGTCGCTATGCTCATGCTATTCCGTTCACAGAACCTGCGCACTTCCTTACCATTTTCATTTTCCAGTCTCGGGTCGCAGGGTCCAACGTGTCGGCCTTCACTTGATTGTACTATACCGTCTGGTGCTCTGTGCAGTCCAAAGTCGCTGTTGAGATCCCCCCCTACAATTGGTGTAGTACGGGCACCCAATTTGTCTATCTCATTCTCAGTCCAAGTCATGATTCGGTTGGCAATAGTAGCATATTCTTTGTAGTGCGTCGGTGCCAGATAGAGAGCAAAAACTGCAATGTCTACCTCGGATGTCTGCAGTCGTATGCCCGCTGCTCGTCCCTGTATCTGTGCTGGCGGACTGCTTGTGCTGCGCAAGCTCTCGGGCGGGAGCCTTTTCGAAACGAGAATCGACACTCCACAAGCTTTGGCAACCCATTTTCCTTTTTTAGCTCCAAACCTGAGTGCCCAATGTTGTGGTAGTTCGGTTTTCTTCACGCTCTCTGGTCCCGCCCACTCGCACGTCCCGCTGAGAATGATAATGTCCCAGTCTCTCAGAGCAACACTTATATCCTCTAGTCGCTCGCTGCCGCTCGCTGAGTATGGGTTGTACGTCACAATGCGCATAGTCGTCGCCACTGCCGTCGTTACTGGGGGCGAGAGATCTCTACCATGGCGCGGGCGGCGGCCCCCCCTCAACACCCTCTGGCCTCGGTGCTGTTGGGGGCCCTCGAAAGTCGGCGGGCGCTCTGTGCGTGTGGGCTCGGTCGGAAATAAATTCTTAAGCCCCTCGCGCCGACTAGGAGGAGGAGGAGGAGGAGGAGGAGGAGGAGGAGGAGGAGGAGGAGGAGGAAGAGAGGAGGAGGAGGAGGGAGGAGGAGGAGGAGGAGGAGGAGGATGACCCCCTCCCCCTCCAACTTCTGATGGTGGTGGTGGAGAGCAGGCCCATCCTGTGCATGGGGTGTCCGACCGTCGTCGCCCTGCGGGCACGGCACGCCGCCCTCTGCGCTGCCAGGGCGAGAGCGCACCCATGCGGGGGCACTGCGGGTCGAGCTGAGGCCCGAGCATCAGCAGGAAGGAGGCACGGGGCAGGCGCCAGAGCGGGATCTCCCAGGCGGCGCCGCGCGAGGGGTCGCCGTAGTAGTGGAACTCGTCCATGACTACGCAGTCGACCCTCCGCGGCCAGAGAGAGGGGCCCCGCGCGGCTGGCAGGTCCAGCGAAGCACAACAAGATGAGACAGAGAGACGGATAGAGAGAGGGACACACGTATATATATATATACATATATATATATAATTATACATATATGTATATATGTATATATATATATATATATATATATATATATATACAAGACTGCTTTGGCGCTTCGCGCCATGCGCCTTGTTCTGGACGCTTCCCTGGCAAAGCAATAAATCATCGCTCTCTTCAGCAGGGAGGACCTCGAGGCCTGGACGGGCGACCCGCCCATTTTTCCGATATCCCGGGTGCCTGCTGACACCGCTTTCGGACGATGCGCTGGCACGCTTGTGCGCAGGAGTGGGGAAATCATGCTGATTTTTTTCGCGCGAAGGTCCTTTGAGGAAGTAAGGAGCGTTCCCATGACACGCCGAAGAAGTCACAGTAGCTCCGAACACATCGATTTTTGATCGCTTCCCGAATGCCTGGGGGGCTCCAGGCACTCAGGAAATCTTCGATCGTCGAATTTCGAATCTAGATCCATTGCCTGTCTCTTTCGATCGGGTAGCCACTGAAACCTCGAACCTCAAACGTGGAACCAAGATCGTCGGGTCAGCTTGATGTATTTCGTAGGAGAACGCCATCTGGTCGTTTTTGGTGCTCTTTTGTGCCGTCCTGGGGCACTCTTGGGCCGTCCTGGGAGCTTCTTGGGCCGCCTTGGGGAGCTGGGGCCCTCCAGAGGTCTTCTGAAGCAATCTAGGGCCCTCTTGCGGGCCTCCAGTGGCGCTCTTGGAGGTATCCCATGGCTTTCGTGGGTCTCTCTTGGGAGCCTTCTGGGGGCACCTTGGGCTTCTTGTGGGCAGTCTCGGGGCTCTCTGGGGCAGTCTTGGGGCCCCCTTGGGCTGCCTTCAACCCCTCTAGGGGGCCTCCCAGGCCGTCTTGGGACGAGATTGGGGGCCCATTGGGCCGTCTTGGACGCTGCGAAGACCCAAAAAGCGGATATGCACAACAGATGTATTTCCTGAGGGAATCTGACGATTTTGGCTTCTTCGGGGCTCTCTTCACGGCCTCTTGGGGTGTCTTGGGGGCCTCTTGGGCCGTCTTCAGACCATCGAGGTTCCTCTTGGAGCGCTCTTGCGCTGTCTTGGGTCTCTCTTGCGCCTCTCCGACGACCCCTCTAATCGCCTTCAGTCGGCTCGCAAGGCCCAGCGAGGCGCCCTGGGAGGCCCGGAAGGGCCACCGAACCTTTTCCAAGGGAGTCCAGGGGGCCGCCGAAACGTCCGAAAGGGCGTCCGGAGCGTCCCTGGGGGCAGGATCCGGTTTAGGGGGGGGTCCCGGTGTGTGTGTGTGTGTGTGTGGGGTCCGGGTAATAAATAAAATGTAAGAATAGGAATATATGGATCTATGCATAAAGAATGACAGGGAGAGACAACAACACATCCATCATTAGATACAAGGAATAGAGAGAGAGATATAAAGACAGCGCGAGAAAGAGGGGGGGCAAATAGAGAGAGAGAGAGAGAGACAGAAAGAGAGAGCGAGATCAAACAGAGATAGGGAGAGCGGTCATGACACAGAAATCGGGAGCATACTCCTTAACTACCTGGCAGATCCCCTACACCCCGCTGGTGCAACATCTCAATCGCTCTGCCCGCCGGTGTAACATCTCAATCGCTCTGCTGGCGGCACTCCGCAACACCACAGCCACCACCTTTTCACGTTCGAATTGTGTGGTCTGCGCTGGCCAAGCCGCGGCCAAGCTTCCTCTTTGCCACTGTCGCGTTTTGGCGCCACCTTGCAATCGTGACCCACTCACTCATCCCCCTGCTCCATCTACTTCTGCGGCTGCTACATCTTCCTCCTCCTCCTCCTTCTCCGATTCTTCCTCCTCCTCCTCCTCCTGCTCAACCCTCAATCCTCCTCCTCTTTTTCTCTGATTCCTAACCCAGACCTCCTGCTCTGAATCCGCCGCGCCGCGCCCCACCTCCTCACCTACTCCCCTTCTCCTTCTCCTCCTCACCTACTCCCCCCTTTTCCTTCCCCTCCTCCTCCTCCTTCTCCTCCTCTTCCTCCTCCTCCTCCTCCCTCCTCTCCTCCTCTCCTCCTCCTCCTCCTCCTCCTCCTCCTCCTCCTCCTCCTCCTCGTCCTCCTCATCCTCCTCCTCCTCACACTCGTCTTTGTCCATGACCAGTCTGCTTATCATCACCGTCATCATCATCTTGATGGGTTTCGGCGCAGATCGAATCGGAACGGGGCCTGCCTAGGGTTAGAACCTCGCTTTCCTCTCAGTGCCACGCTTTCGCACGGATCTCTCACCTAGGTCCGCCAACTCCGCGCTCCAGCGCTGTGAACAACCCAATTATTATACTTAGCTTCGCGCGCTCTAGGCTGAGGAGGGAGGGGGGATTGCGGGAGGGGGATCGTCGTGCTGCTGCTGTCCTCCGCCTCCCCCTCCTCCTCTTCCTCCTCCTCCTCGTCCCCCTCCTCCTCCCCTCGGCTCTCCTCCCTCCTCTCCTCCTCCTCCTCCGATCTCCTCCGCCTCCCCCTCCTCCTCCTCCTCCTCCTCCTCCCCCTCCCCCGTCCTCCCCCTCCCCCCTTCCCCCTCCCCTCCCCCACTCCATTCCCCCTCCCCCTCCCATCCTCCCCCTCCCCTCTCACCCTCCCCCTCCTCCTCCTCCTCGTCCTCCTCCTCCTCCTCCTCCTCCTCCTCCTCCTCCTCCTCCTCCTCCTCTCGGGTCGGTCGAGACAGGGGGTTCAGAGGGGGCTCAGCGACATGTGGCCGGTCTTCCCCGCACCTGCCTTGGCGCCAGGAAGCGCCGGTGCGTCGAGGGGGGAGGACGCCCAGCGGCCGGGCCGAAGCCAGCTGCAGGCCGAAACCAGCTGCATCTCACCCGGGGGCGCGCAAACATGGATCAGCGTTAGGTCGGGCATGTCCTCCTACGTCAGGTTCGTGTCGTGCCGATTTCGGCGGGGACCCCGCCAGCGGCGTTCAATCTAGAACGCCGCGGGCGACCCAGAATCGTTCGATGTGGAACGATCGGTCGTTTCCGAAACGTCCAAATCGTTCCACATCGAACGATTCTGGGTCGCCCGCGGCGTTCCAAATTGAACGCCGCTGGCGGGGTCGCCGCCGGTCGACACGACACGAACCTACCGTACATGGGCATTTTTCCCCAATCAGTGCTTTCACTGAAGTGGTCCTAGCTGGAATTGAAAGATTTGTTGGCGAAACTTTCCAGCCGATTTTGTGGCCGGCTGGGTTCCCGGGTCCCCAGTTCCAGGGTCCCGGGTTCATGGTTATTGGTTCTGGGCCGATTTCGGTGGGCTCGGGGTTCCCGGGTTCCCGGTCGATCTCCTTATCGATCAAACCATCCACTGATCGGAGTTTTCTCTGGTGTACTGGACGAAATATAAAACAAAGAAAAATATATCAAGAAATGATCCAAAATATTCGAAACATCGTCCCTAGACTTTTTTATAACCATTTTT